TTTAATTTTGTTTTGTCATTCTTTCAATTTTCCATCGTATTTAGAGCTCTTCTTCAACTTCATCAATAAATAACGTCAATAAGTTTTATTTTAAATCAATATTAACAAATCTAAAATCAAAATGTTGGTAAGTTAAATTTTTTATGTCCCTAACTTGAGTTTTTTTTGTATTCTTCTTCTAGCCTCTTCTTGTTCCTTTGAAAAAAAGAAGAAAAACTCAAAAGTAAAAACAATCTTCCCAAACATGATTTTAAGATCCGTGTCATTCTGAAACATTATTTTAAAGTGTCATAATAAAATAAAACTCATAGAACTCACATAAGTATTTATTCTGTATTGCACCATTTGGCCCGACAACTGAAGAGGAAGCGCATAATTAAATTTAAAAAAAACTGACCTGTTTATTTATAGTCGACCGTTATTTACAGAACGACTTAAAAAAACACAAAATAAATATTTTGAGTTGTTTATTTATAACATCAGAATTGTTCACTTCATTAACGAAAAGGTGACAACTGGCTGGTGTATTTGTAGAATACAGGATGTCGCACTATTTTTATTTGTATTTCATAATACGCGGCTACGAACTACTTAACTGCCCACGACGTGTGGATGTGTTTTGGTCCCTCGGAGCCAATTTTAATTTTAAAAGTTGAAATAACGGTGTGGATGTTGAAATAGATGCTTCGTTTAAATAAATAATAGTTTAAGAATAAAATCCTAACGTCTGTGTCACAGAAATGAACGAACGAATGGTTCTCTGCGGAAAACAACTACTCCTCTGACGTAAAAAGGCATTGGATGCTAATTTTATTTACATCTTAGTGTAGAATTATTTTCTTTTTAAATAATGCGAATTATTTGAGATTCCATTAATGATAAACATATAAGCAATGAACTAGAAATAAAAAATATCTAGGAGAAAATATTCAGGATCCTGTATACTCGCATGGTTTGTCTAACTGAGTTTGCGTGCGGAAAAGTTTGAAGTTTATTTTATTATACATACACATTTATTCCTAAAATCACATTTTCTCTACACTTAGATACTTAATCTAGGATGCTTCGACAGCAACAGTAAGACAATATGAACAATCTACTCGAGTTGTACAGTATATTTTTTCTACGTCCCACTTACACAAATTTACTTTTTGTTTTTTTTACTAGTAATTATCTTTTGACTTTTATGCATTTTTTTATTTTTCTATTTGATTTTTTGATTCTTGACGTGGAAATGTGTTCTAAATATTGAAATTTTTGCATAACCGTATCGATCATCTCTAGTAGATGTATTATTCATTTATAAATCGCAAATCTAGGGTATTTTACATCGAGTAAGATATTTTCGACGTGAGTTAAATTAAATCGCCATCAATAAACAAAAATAGAATAAAACAAAATTTATGGCGAGTAAAAACAATCAATCGCGCTCAATGACCACCCAACAATTCGGCTATACACTTTTTTAAAAATAGAGGTTGAATACGTATTAAAATTTTGAAAAGTTTCGATCCTCGAACTTACTACCACGTGCGTTAAGGTTTGGCTACGTTACTGCGGCGATTTACAAGATTTATTTTATTGGCAATGTCAAGTATCATTGCGTAAATATTGTTCGTGTTTACAAGTGTATTTTCTACGTTTTTTTTTTGACTGTAGGTGCTTTACAATATAATTTACCGACCACTTGTTAAAATAATTTTATTTATGTAACGTGACAATGTTGAATCAATCTTAACAATTATTGTAGACTGTGTGACATTAAATATCAAAATATTTTCATATATTTTTGATAAATAGGGATGAAAGTTTCAAAACAATTTCCTTTTTCTGTACGTAGAAATTTTAATAATTAGTCGAAGCCGGGGCCCCTTTTAAGTTAATACAGAGTCATGCTTCGAATAAGGTGATCAATGTCTTCTTGAGGAATTTAGTCCTAAACTTGAACTTCATGTCTTAAGAGACGCAAATCAATTATTAAGCCAGGAAGTTGACCCAATCTTCTACCTTTCATGTCCTATACATGTTATTGGTGAATGATCAGGAGACCTAGTTCGTCAGGGAAGAACGGTACCTTGAGAGTCACGAAAGAACCTGCTTGTAACTGCTGCTGTATAAGGTCCGGAATTATCCTGTTGGACAAGTCACGAAAGAACCTGCTTGTAACTGCTGCTGTATGAGGTCTGGCGTTACTCTGTTGGAAAATTGGGATTTTCAGTTACTGAAAATATGATATAGCAACTGATTCTAAAACATTGTGAATATAGTTCTGAGCCAGAAACAACCCAGCGAGACGTGTAACTCAATGTATTTTTTTTGTTCGGTAAAAGTTGTTTGGGCGATTGTAACCACAACCAGTCTATGATGGCGCCACTAGTAAATAGCGGGAAAATTTAAAAATGCTTTAGGGCGGGAAATTCAAACATGGATTCAGAAATAAATAGTTTTTCTATACAAATTTACAGGAGAAACAAAAACTATTGTTTCACTGTTTATTAAGAAATGTAAAAGTTTCCAATAACATAAAGGAAGTTTCAATCAGTTTAATATAAGCAGTGAACATAGTTTTATTTACTCTTGTAAATTTCGCTAAAAAAACTTGAAAATTCTATTGATTATTAAATATTTAAACTTGGAAAAATAATACACCAAACTCTTTTTCTATAAATTATATTTTTGTAAGGTATAGAAAAACAAACTACAATTGCTACGTTTAGAAAGTACCTCGTATCATTTTGTGACAAATTACAAAGAAAGTCACAGTTGTTATATATTCAAAATATATTTAAAAAATAATTTTATAAAGTATAGCGTATATTGATACCTTTTTGTCAGACTATCATAAGTGCCATTTGAACAAGTAGTGCCGCTTACGTTAGTCTGGCAAAAACGTATCGATATGTTATGACTGTTTATTTTAATAGAAACCATGGAAACCAAGCAAACACACACACTCACACAAATGTATAAGGCCCGAATTGAGTAAGTTCCCATCCTGTAAACTGGATCTAAACCTGCTAGACTCCCCTACTAACTCCTCTTAGGTTCATCAAGATCAATAGATTTATATGCCATGCCTTCTAAAAGGAAATGAAGGATGACATACTATCATCATTTAAACAGGACGTTGCTGAAGGCTCTTACCCCTGTTATGTCGTCTGTTTGTGTATCTTGTGCGTGTGCATTCCTGTTGTGTCCCCAGTCATGTAAAAGTTTTGCTAGTCTCCTAATTTGGTGACTAGGTGGACCTTCTCCAACTAGTCGTCTAATCTATTCGATCTGCTCTGCAGCAGGAGGTACTTTTCAAACATAGCAAATAATAATATTAATAATAAACACTATAGAAATTAATGGTCCGATTCAAACGGGAAGAAGGGGAAGTGTAGAGAACTCGGTATAGATTTACGCTGAAGAGGAAAATCATGCTCAGTGACGGACCAAAAGGGCCTAAAACCTATATCTTTCTTATTGTTGGTCAGATTTAAACGTGATTATGTAGAGAACGATGAACGTTCAAGAGGAAAGTCATACGCAGAACGAAAGCCAGAAGGGCCTTAGCGAGTTTCTCGGATATTACTAGTCCGATTCAAACGGGAAAAACGTGATTATGTAGAAAACGAACGTAGAATAGAAAAATCATGCGCAATGCCAGAAGGGCCTTAGCGCGTTTCTCGGATATTACTAGTCCGATTCAAACGGGAAAAATAGCATTATGTAGAGAACGATTAACGTTAAAGAGAAAAATCGACGTTTCGTTTGACATTTCGTTTGACGTTTCGTTTGACATTTTCGTTTGACGTTTTCGTTTGACATTTTCGTTTGACGTTTTCGTTTGACGTTTTCGTTTGACGTTTCGTTTGATGTTTGACGTTTCGTTTGATGTTTAACGTTTCGTTTGATGTTCGACGTGTACAATCTTGTTTGAATACTCTTCTATCGTAATGAGTAACATTAGAAGAGTATTCAAACAAGATTGGTTACATTCCCGAGTAAAATAGTGTTGCTTATTACGTACATAAATTTCAGAATTAGCATCTGAAGGTGTAAAAGACTCTACATAATGCCGGTTTTCCCGTTTGAATCGGACCAGTAATATCCGAGAAACACGCTTAGGCCCTTCTGATTTTGTTTTTTCGTTTACCTCGTATATTTTTCATTGTTTACGTCAACGATTACCACCATCTTGGATTCCCGACGTTATCTAACCGCGAGCTAACGTTATAATATTTACTGATAAGCCAGACTTCGATTCTCGACGCGTGACCTTGATGTTGACGTTTTTTGCTATGTTTCACCTTAGCGATTTTCCATGTTAATTTACATAAGGAACGAGGCAGAACTCTTGTTGCTCCTTTACTCTTTTCTTCATTTAAAACATTGTCTCATATTTTACATTCCTCTCATTTTCGTTATCTTCAATTCTCTGATCTTTTCCTCCTGTTTATTCTTAATTTTGTCATTCTCATGCTGATCTTTTTCATTTTGATTATGTCTATTTTTACTCAGTCTCGCCCCGATTCTCATTGTTTTCTTTTTGAGCCTCATAAAAACGTGACTATTAAGATGCCAATTGTTTACGTTTTCGAGGCACCAATAAAAACAAACTTCAAGACCTTGATGGGTCCTAATTTAAGCCTCAAATTAGGAGTTCTACTTCGTATCTCAAATTAGGGATTTTTGGTTAGAAAATTAAAACCTATATTGTAATTAGTTTTAAATACTTTTCAGTCATTTTCTTTTAGTGAATAATATTTAAAAGAATAGTAAATATTGTCTATGATGTGTCGAAACTCTTGAAATATTTTTAGACCTAGAGTTGAGAGTCGTTAATTTAAGTCCATAGAGATGTTGCGCATATATTCCTTAAATCTGATAAAAAATTTGATGTTCTGTTTGTGAATTAATTTAAAAAAGCGTAGTTAGTTATTTTGCAAATAATGTAGTGTACGTAGTGTATCCACATGTGTTCAATATTAAGTGTAACTCTTCTTTATCAACAGGTGCAAGAACTTTAAAGCAACACAAGAAAATCCCCATATACATAGTAGAAAATCACCACGAGGTCGTACCTTTCATCCAAAAAAACATAGGATCCAAACATCTACCCGTGAGTGGATCTACATTCGTCCATTTTGATTCTCATCCAGATATGCTAATACCCATTGATATGCCTGCTGGGTACGTTTTTGATAAAAATAAGCTATACGGGAGTCTTAGTATAGAGAACTGGATGATGCCTCTAGCATACGCTGGTCATTTAGGACATTTGATATGGATCAAACCACCATGGGCTCACCAGATCGAAGATACCAGTCAAACTTTCAATATCGGACGAGTTAAAGCTTCTGGTACCATTAGACTCGATTGTAAAGAAACGTATTTTGTATCAGAATGCTTATACGAGCATCAAAAGAATTTGAACGATATAAAAAGTGTACAACTAGACGTGGTGACTTTAGGAAATTCTCTAACCGAAGGTAGCGACGATTTTGGTAAAATTAGAACGCTGGTATCAAAATCGGACGTCCCGTTAATCTTAGACGTCGATTTGGACTTTTTCAGCACAGGTAATCCATTTAAAAGGATGTACGAAAAGGCTGATCTATATGCCAAACTTAAAAAAATATACTACTACGAATCACCGTCATCAAAAGATGATGAAGTTATTAACAAGGCTGTTAGAGATAGAAAGACGCAAATTCTGAAACTTGAAACCATTTTCCTTTACCTCGAGAAGCATAGAAAAATGCCAGCGCCAGATGAATCTTGTTTGTTATGGAAACAAGTAGATGAATTGAGGAAGACCGTGGTAGAAAACTATGAGGATAAGGATATCGATTGGTTGATGGTGCATGATGCTGGTTGTACCTGCGACGAAACAGAATTGCCAGAACACATATCGACGCCTGAAGAGTTGGATATTATGTTCGAAAGTTTCAAAAATTTCTTGGAAGCTCTGCCGCGCACTCCTGTCATCGTAACTATTTCAAGATCTAGTGAAGATGATTATACTCCGTTTGAGAGTGTGGAGATGATACAGGAAAAGGTTCTTGGTTATTTGAAGGAAAGATTCGAATGTGCAGAGCCGGTGCTGAATTATTTAGAAAAAGTTACCGATTAGGTTTGGACAAAGGTGTCATTTGTTAATTTATATGGCGAAATTAGATAATTTAATTGATATAAATGAATAAATGCGAAATTTAAACTCTTTGCTTGTTTTTTTTTTATATTTCATTTTTAAGATTTTATTTTTGAAGTGTAAACTACTTATATTTAAATAAATGAGACAGGTGTATTTCAAAATTGATATGGGGATTTAATGTGTTAAACTAAATGAATACATACATTATTTAAATAGGGAGTAAGGGTCTATTTATAGTGATTTTATTTTTATTATTATAGTTCGGGTCATACATAAGGCAGTATGGCTAGGCATAGGCAATGTATTTCTAATGGGAGACCGGCACACTGTGCAGTAGTAGTAGTAGTCGTCAATGTTATTTTAGCATGTATTCTTGGTTGCATATATGAGGACCGATTGTCCTTCTTGATGTCTAATTGGACGGCTTTCTGCAGAAAGGAAGCAGCCCACAAATTTGTGATTTTTTGACTTTCGCATAATATTACATTAAGAACCATACATTTTTTATAATTGTCAAAACTTTGACATTTAATTACTCAATAACTTGTTTTGGGGTAGGTTCATTTGTGATTTCTTACCTACAACATGGAGCTTAAGAAATTCAAATGCGGACACATGCTCCATGTGAGTGCGAAAATTAGTATTTTTAATATGATTTGTTATTTAGTCAATGACGATAAATTGAGTGTGACTGCAGCAGTAAGTCGTGCTTCCAAAATAAGGGGGTCGGTGAAAAAACAATTTATACCATCAAAAAAGATAAAGAACAAAAGAAAAAGAAGAAAAAATCGGATAAGGCAATCAAATTCTCGCGAATCTACATGCGATGAGGGTTTTAATAGCTTATTGAGAGGATTTATGCACAATATTTTTTTTTAACATTCCGCCAACTTTGAATGCAATTTATAATATTCGAGGAATGAGAATTCACCATCGTTCTCTTTAAGAACCCTATGTAGATAATATATCCAAACTTTTAATTAAGATTTATGACAACTAGATAAACATTTTATTGAATTATATAATAACAATAGTTTATTCAGGAGAAGACAAATTAATACTTACAAAAAAATAAATATATAAAATTACATAATATAAATAACAATAATAATAATAATAATAATAGCCACAATAATAGTATTAACGAACTTTAAATTTAAAACGTTAAATTATATCTTTGAATAAACATGTGTGTGAATTCATCCGTAAGAAGCCAAAAGACTGTGCATGGACCAATATACATTTTTATGATTGAATGTTGACCTTAATGTATGTCTATATACACATTAGCTGCACTATACGAAGCCCGGTAGGTATTACAGGCAATCAGAGTCCCGCCCTTAATTTACGTTCTGCGCATGTGTATTTTATGTAAAACAGTAATAGAGCAAAATAACATTCGAGGCAGATTATGATATGATTGTTAGTTTTTTTGAGACCCAGCCAGTTTTAATAATAATCCGAAGCCTACTGTATAAAACTTAACATTTTTTTTTAGCGGTAATTCCCACTTTAGAATTTGACCTTTCTACTGTTAATACAGAGTGGCCCAAAAGTCTGGAAGCCAGGTTTGCCGTTTCTCTTAAATTATTAGTCACTTTGGTTTTTCAAATTCATCACCCTGTATATTCAGTCATTATTAAAATCTCCTGTTCAATACGAGTTCAACCATATGTAACACTTATGATTTTATGTAGTCTGGAAGGTCTTAAATAAATAAAATAAGTCTGGCAACGCCTAATTGTCTCAATAAATTTTTTAATACAAACTATTTTCAAATACATTAAAACGTAACATTTGAAAGATTATAACATTTTTAACATAATGGTTACTTTATCAAGTGTTCAAAATGTGCTCCATTTGTGAGTTGACATTACCCTAATCGATGGTAGAATGCGTCTACCACATTTCCTCATGATTGTTTTATTTATGTAAGACCTTCCAGACTACATAAAATCATAAGTGTTACATATGGTTGAACTCGTATTGAATAGAAGATTCCAAAAAAAACCAAAGTGACTAATATAAGAGAAACGGCAAATCTGGCAACATTGCAAATATCAAATCTGGAATCTCCTTCTCCCAAAATAGGTGTACCTCGAATTTGGTATAATTAGGATTAACAATTTACGAGATAATTGGTCGTTTCCAGACTTTTGGGCCACTCCGTATATTATAATTAGGTACTGTACTAACATTGTTAGAAAAAGGCACGAAGTAAGTTTTTTCGAAATTAACGATGAGAAATTTATGACTAAATAGATCGAATATATTTTTTAAATCATTTTCAGTTTTTTTTTTTAAATTTGTCCAGGTATTATCAGAGTATTGATAAGCTTTGCAGATGAGCTTATCAATCTACTCGCACTTGAAGTAATACTGTTGAGATAAATAATAAAGAGGATAGGACCTAAAACAGTACCTTGTGGTATACCAAATTTAATACATTTTCTTGTTGTTGATTTTTACCGTTTCAGTTCTATTTAATAAATAATTTGCAAAAAGTTTACTTGTTTCGCCTCGAATTCCTATAACATCCAGTACCCCCATCAATTGCGTATGAGAAACTGTATCGAAGGCCTTAGCCAGATCTAGAAACACTCACAAGGTAGGTTTGCTAATTTCTAGGGAGTTTTCAAAGACTTTAAGGCATGATATTACTGATATTGGTCGGTAATTTGAAACATTGTTTTTTTTTCCTTTTTTAAAAATTGGTGTTATTATTGCAGTTTTGAACTCTTGAGAGATACATGTTGTGAAAATTGAATGAATTAAATTTCAGATTTTATATCATCAACCCCTGCAGGTTTATTAATTCAATAACTTCAGGTTCTGTGACAGGTGCTAGAAAAAATGATCTTTGGCATTTTTTTGCAGACTCAGGTACATTAGAGACAGGCTCGATTTCATTATCGTATCTCTAACATTAATAAAAAAAATATTAAATTCATCTGCAATTTCTTTATCATTTGTGGTCAATTCATTATTAGAATTTATAATTTCTTTTATTTTATTTTGATCGTCAGTAAAAGATTTATTTATTCCACAGATTTTTTGAAGAATTCTTGTTATTATCCATCATTTTTTTATAGTACCTATATTTTGTTATTTCAATTATTTTTTCTAATTTTCTTTTAAAATCAATGTACCTATTTTTTTTAAATTATTTGTTGGGTCTGTTCGATATTCTTTGTATAATTTATTTTTTCATTTATAGAATTTACTTAGACGTTCGTGATCCAACCCCTAAGGCCAAAAATCTGTTTTTTTATGAACATTGTGTAGTCACGTTCAAAAATAAAATATAATTATTAAAAACATATTAAATAAAATATTACAATTTTTATATCCCAAAATATAATATATTCATTATCTTTTTAAATGCCAAAATCTGCAAAAAAAAATTGTAGACATATACTTCAAAATAAAAAAAAAACACATTTAGCAGTTACCGCGACCTGCATTAATTAGGCAGAAGTAATAAATGGTAATATTACTAAAGAAACTCATCGGAATATCTGGAAAATGGACTATGAGCCATATATAATGCCTCCTGGAGTATTCCAAAGATGAAAATGACGACAAGAACAACAACATATCTTGAAATGGCTGTGGAGGACTTCAATGACACAGTTACCAATGCGTTCAACGATACTTGTTCTTTAAAAGCAAGGAATTCCACCAGGAACGTTCCATGGTGAAATAACGACCTTGTGAAACTAAAAAAACAAGTAAGAAAATAATTTAATTATTTGAAGAATTAGGGTTAGCAGGAATATAGCACCATACTTACGGAAAGTCAAGAAATAATCCTGGAGGAGATAGAAAGTAATCAAGAATGTTCTAGACTCCAGAAAAGCCGTTCAAGAGATGAACAAAACACAATAAACTCTCTTATGAACAAATTAGAAGAGTACACAAGAACAGGGAATAAAACGATAAGAGAACACTTTAGGGGGTTCAATTCCTTGTGTCACAAACTATAGAACACACGATCTGAACTCCAGTTGGACTGCAACCTCGGGAAGGAGCCAACAGGGAAGATTGACAAACTGCCAAAAAAAGTAGTGAATTACGACAAACTGAAATGGACAATCAACTCAGTTGAACCATACACCGGGAATTGACGGATTTACACAATAATGCTACAAAGAGTACCTGATATTTTATACAGAAGACTCTGCAGTACACTTAGAAGTAACCTCTGCATTACACTTAGAATTAGAAGTAGCCTGGCCTGTGGATGCATATCAAGAGCATGGCGAGACATTTGTCACGCTAATAGCAAACCCTGGGAAAATCAGATAGGGGACGGTAAAGTCCCTAAGACCAGTATGTCTAATGTTTTTTGTACTCAAGACTTTAGAGATAATGCTAGATAGACATATTATGAAGGGCAGCGTATTGGTGCAAAGACCTATACGCCTATAGTGCAGGAAAATTAAAGAAACAGCTCTACATCAATTAGTAAAACGGACTTTCTTTGACATCGAAGGATCATTTGACAATTCTTCTATCGAGGACACATTGTGAGACCTCGATTATTCTAAGAGAGAATGATACATGCAACGCATTATGGAAGAGATTATAGCAGCCCGCGTTGCGAAGGCATGTCCACAGAGAGGAGTGCTGTCTCCACTCCTGTGGAACCTGGTCATGGATGCGTTGCTGGGCATAAAACTCTGGGCTATGCCAATGATCTAAACTACGCCGCAGATGAAATGGGACAGCCACAAAATTGCCTAATTGACTAGCTATAACTTCGATATTTCTGTGGCGATGTTGGATTTTCAGCCAGAGGTGCATAGCGCCATCCTTGCTGTTTGCGTCAGAAGCGTTGATTATTTTTTTCAATCTCTTCTTATTGTACAGAGTGTGAATGTAAGACAGCAAAAAAGTCCTTTTTTGGCAAAGAATTAGAAAAATGTGATTTTCTGATGTTGAGTGGATTACACTAGATCGACACCTCTTTGCTATTTTCTTGATAATTTGCGTTGCTATGGAAGTATCGCCATTTTATGAAATTCCGTTTTTCTTTTAAAATGACCCTTTTTTATTAAAGAATAAC